CCGGCCCCGGCCCGGGCGCGGGCTCGGCGGCGCCGGCGCTGGGCTACGGCTACCACTTCGGCAACGGCTACTACAGCTGCAGGATGGCCCACGGGGTGGGCATCCAGCAGGGCGCGCTCAAGGCGGCGCCGCACGCCTCGCTGGGCGGCTTCCCCGTGGAGAAGTACATGGACGTCTCCAGCCTGGCCGGCACCAGCGTCCCCGCCAACGAGGTCTCCTCGCGGGCCAAGGAGGTGTCCTTTTACCAGGGCTACCCCAGCCCCTACCAGCACGTGCCCGGGTACATAGACATGGTCTCCACGTTCGGCTCGGGGGAACCGAGGCACGAGACATACATATCCATGGAGGGCTATCAGTCCTGGACTCTGGCTAATGGCTGGAATAGTCAGGTTTACTGTGCCAAAGATCAGACCCAGAGCTCCCACTTTTGGAAATCCTCCTTTCCAGGTACGAGAGGGAGAGAGGCGGTCCGAGTCAAGCCCCCTGCCCTGCCAGGCCCGGCCCGGCCCGGCCCGGCCCGGCCCGGCCCGGCCCCGCCGCTTGTCCCCGTGCTGAGAGCAGAGGACACGGCATTTCGCAGGACAGTCGCTCTCTGTCCCCTCTCCCCCCACCCCCGCCCCGTGTCCCCTGCCTCCTCGTGGCCAGGCTTCACTTGTGCCTTGAAACAATGCGCTGGGATGGGCTCGCCCAGAGACCCGCGCTCTGCTTCGCGGGCCGGAGCTGCTGGCTGAGCCGCGACGGCGCCGCGCACATGCACGCGGCCCCGGGCGCCTGGGTGGGCTCCGCGTGCATCCTAACCGCAGCCCCCAAGCCAAGGCACGGGGGAGCCTGTCGGCTCGCCGGCTGCAGAAGGCGATGACAGTCCGTCCCGGGGCTGGGGCTTTTCGACCGCGCGCATGATGCGGAGGGCAGCGCTCTGAACACACTGGGCGGCTTTATTTGCCCGGAAAGCCAGTGCCCGGCGTGGTACAGTTCCGATTTAAACGCCTGTCGTAAAAGTCTAATTTTTCCCACCGTCTCTTTTGCAACAGGGGACGTTGCACTAAACCAGCCAGATATGTGCGTCTACCGCCGCGGGAGGAAGAAGCGAGTGCCTTACACGAAACTGCAGCTCAAAGAACTGGAGAACGAGTATGCCATTAACAAGTTCATTAACAAAGACAAGAGGCGCAGAATATCCGCCGCCACGAACCTGTCTGAGCGACAAGTGACCATTTGGTTTCAGAACCGAAGGGTGAAGGATAAGAAAATAGTCTCCAAGCTGAAAGACAACGTCTCTTGATCCACTGGTTGCGGACGGTGATGGAAATATAAATACAATTTACAACCAGCTAAAGACTTTTGGAAAGACTTGAAAATATATTTAATTCCCCCCCACCCCCCTTCCAGCGGTGGCGAAATGTTGTGAATTCCCTTTCATTTGGGTCAGCATTTTCCCCTCTTTTTTGGAGAAGGCTGCCAGAGTTTGACTTTGCAGTTCTGTTTCTTCCTTTTTTAATTTGAATATGTCCTATTCCTTCCTCTAGGCCAGTATAAACGATTTTAAATACCTTGAGCAGTTACAATTATACCTTTCTTGAATACTTATCTTTTTTTTTTTTAATTCTGTAAAACGATCTCTGAAAAAAAGCCGATGCCAAAGCTGTCAGGTTGTGATTTGGCATCATCAGCTGCAGAATTCACCTAAGAGCAATAATGCAATCTAAAGAAGTGGGATTACTGAATCATTACAGCTCGCTTCTCCTCCCAAAATGCCGCGAGCCCATCAGGGCACAGAGTGAATCTTGTTTAATGTGAAGGACTAAAGAGGGATTCGCACGTAGCTGTTTTCAGTTACTTTGCAGGGAAAAATATATATTTTGGGGCCTTATTGGAACTAGGAAAACATTTGTCACTTCAGCTGTTGACGTGGCTGCGTTCCGCATTTTTCCGGCATTTTACCCTGTAGTTTCATTTGCAGTTTAATGATTTCATATTCCCTCTGTGCAGACTAGTATCATGCTTCTTTGTAGGTGCACTTATTCCGACGCACCACGCAAAGTTACTCCAAACGATTCCGTGCATGTGCGGTAATAATGCATTGCTGTCGGTTAATACAGATGATCTGAGGCTGAGAAGCTGATAGCTAGATAGCTGCACCTAGTGATTAGCAGCATACTAGGAAAGAAACAAAACACGATGAAATGGAGTCCAAATGTTTAATCAAATTGCATATATTGGACATGCTGTATAGACACGTGTATAAACCTATGCCTATTTTTGTATGAAGTATATTGGATGCCTCGTTCTCGTGTCTGAGCAAAGGCACGACTCTTCACTTCAGCCTGTCATGGCGTTGGAAAACTTCTGGTTACAGAAGGGAAGCTTACTAATAATAACTTTACCTTACGAAAATAAACGGGTGTTAATGACAGAAGCAATAACTGATGCATGGCAAAGGATGCCGTAATTTATGTAGGCCGGAAAGGCTGCTTTTTTATTAAAACAAAAAACAAAAAAACTTCAGACCCTAGCGTGCATCTTGTGCTATCCCTATAGTGACTTCTTATCGTGCAGGTCAGTTTGCTAGCAGGAAGAGAAGCCTTTTTCTGTCCATGTGCCTCGTGTAATGATTAAACCGTGTCGTGGTCCCAGTTCTTGATTACAACAGCCTGTTGCTCCGGACGCGGGAAAGACCAAGGCTGCGTCTGTTCCCAGAGAGCTGGATCTGTTTCCCCTTCGTGTTTCCCGGCGCCTTGTCCTTGGAGCTGCCCTGCAAATGCGGGCTCGGCTCCCAGGCTCTGCACGAAGCTGCCTAAGAAGCCCTTGAATAAAATCATTTCTTTCCAGTAGGGAAAAAAAAGAAACCGATTGAAATTTAAAAAATAAATCGTTTGTGTTTTCTCTGGACTGATCGGCGCTCTCGCAGGCGGCTCCTCCTGGGGAGAGGACAGCCATCGGCTCTGAAGTCCTGGAAACTTTGCCGAGGCTGGAGCTTAGGTTGAAACTGGGGGTAGGAGTTCACCTCCACTCCCTCCCCCCCCCCCCCGGGGGGAGCCCCAGAGGGGGCGCCCGGGGGGGGGGGGCGGGGGGGGGGGGGCCCCCCCCCCCCCGCGCCCCCCCGGGGGGGCGCGGGGGGGGGGGGGCCCCCCCCCCCCCGCCCCCCCCCCCCGGGCGCCACTGCTGGGGCTCGGCCGCGGTGGAGCGGGCAGGGCGGCGGGATCGCCCTCCAGGTGGGTCCCTGGCACAGGGACCTGCTGCCACCCGGCGTGGCGGGGTCTCGCCCGCCCTTCCCGTTGAACTTGAACGCAGCCTCGGCCCGCCGCCCGACAGGTCCGGGGCCCGCCGCCTCCAGCGCGCACGCAGCAAGCGAGAGGCTGTGGGGGGGTGGAGAAGGCGCCCACCCCCTCCAGCCTGCGGGGACTGCGGGGCGCAGAGCGTTTCCACCGCCGGCTCCTCCGCCCCCGGCCGTGCAGGATCGCTGTGTCCCGCCGGGGCTCCTGCCTGGAGCAGGCCGAGGGCGGTGCTTGGGAGCCCGTGTTCAAGCCCCGCGTCGGGGGCCGGGGTTGCCTCCCCGGGAGCGGGGGCCGCCGCAGCGCGGGTCTCGGCGGGATTCTCTCCGGGGCGAGCGCCGCGTCTGCGGGTGGCCATCTCGGCCTCGCCGTTTGTTTGCAGCTAATGAACGGCATCATCAGGCTAATAATTCCCCCGGAGCCTCCCGGGCCGGATAACGAGAGCTGTGATGGACGCGGTGCCAAACGCGCCGTGGCACAATGATGTACGGCCGGCGGCGGAGGCTGGACGGCCCAGCGCGGGCTTTACCATCGAGCTTGACTCCCAGCGCCATGTGTGAGGCAAGCGCGCCATCTGCTGGGCGGCCC